TAAAAAGTTACTTGAATTAAACATAATTCAGTAAGAGTCCAAAGACCTAAGAATTAAAATATAGGCATGCATCTAGAATCTGGACTTTATCACAGCTACATTTCAAAGCTATTATCTTATAATTTCCTGAACAAAGCTTTAATGAAGGAGTATTATTAAGTTTGTATCGTACATGATGGACCCAGAAAACTAGAATCTTATTTATATAACATTTATATCACATCTCAAGCTATCCTGAACAAGTCGTCAGTAGCTCTAATACAAGGACACTTATATTCACACCTAAATCAAGTGCACATATACCTTTAGGGCACATTAAGTGGAGTCAACATGGTCTTCCGGAAAAAGCTCAGGTTTTGAAAGCTGCCACTGAAGCCGGGTTTAGCAGGCCATGTAGTCTCCTTAACCTGTTTCCTTGTATGAATAGTGGGGGTAAAAATATCTACCTCATAGAGATTATTTAATAAATAAGGGACATCTACAAAGCATAATTTCTGAGATATAGTGAGTACACAATCAGTAGTAGTTAATTTTTCAAACTGAAGCACATAAAAGGTTATAAAAACCAATCTCCAAGTTTAAGAGGAGAAATTTGAATCCACTGTGAGATACAATCAAGAATCAAAAAGACTTCTCAATGCTATACAAAAAAAGAAGTGAATATGAAATGAGGTCAACAGAAAACATGAACTACGTAAAGGCTACTGCTTATTTACAGAAGTAGGGGAACATGGAGTACAACTGGAAATTTGGGGCTTATTTGCTTAGATACTTGCGTCAGAGTGGTGAGTATAAATCTTCACTTCATCAGCTACGCTAAGGACTTGATAGAAAGCTTGTAATATGTCCCTGGCTTTCAAAAGATAGATGAATAAATGGTTGCATAGATGAACAGATGTGTATTGTCATGGATTGAATTATGGCCCCCCCAAAATGTGTGTATCAATTTGACTGGGCCATGATTCCCAGTATTGTGTGATTTTCCTATATGTTGTAAATCCTGCCTCTATGATGTTAACGAGTGAGGATGGGTGGCAGTTGTGTTATTAAGGCAGGACTCAATCTACAAGATTGGATTGTGTCCTGAGGCAATCTCTTGATATAAAAGAGAGAAGTGAGCAGAGAGACAGGAGGACCTCATACCACCAAGAAAGCAGTGCCAGGAGCAGAGCGTATCCTTTGAACATGGGGTCCCTGAGCAGAGAAGCTCCTTTTCCGGGGGAACACTGAAGAGAAGGCCAACAGAGAGAGAAAGCCTTCCTCTGGAGCTGGTGCCCTGAATTTGGACTTTTAGCCTACTTTGCTGTAAAGAAATAAATTTCTCCTTGTTAAAGCCATCTACTTGTGGTATTTCTGTTATAGCAGCACTAGATGACTAAGACATGTATGTACGTAAATAAATACATGGATTAATAATAATTATCAAAAGCATGGTATCCAATAGTTTTAAAGATGATTTCACATCTTTTACCTAGTATAAGTTCACAATCTGGAAAGACTTAACAGGAAAGTTAGACATTAAGCCAGACCCATGGCAATGGAACAACAGAGGCATGGAAATGGGTAGAGCGTCACTTTAGGCTTGGGGTACAACATGCACAAAACCAAGACAGTAGGCAAGCACAAATTTGCTTGTTACAGAGAAAATAAAATATTAGAGGAAGCATTTTCAAGCCTCCCAAGTGGTGGTTAATTTATATTTCATTCAATTGTTTTAATCAACAACTTAGAAATCAACAATGTCTTTATTTTGTTTAATCACATACAACTATTCTTTAATTTAAAACTTTTCATCTGTTGAGATGACAACTGAGTATCACTCTTAAAGATCCTTTTGCTAAGGATTGTCTGGGTACAGGTATCATCTCCTTAGGCCAAATGATACATGCTTCTTTTCTTACTAAGTATAAAAACAGATTTTAAAAATATAAAATAAAGCCTGGGAACAAACCAGGTGTCCATCATTAAGGGACAGATTGAATGTACACCTTCACCATATATGTAATATATCTATCAAAAAATGAGATATATTTCTATATACTATTATGGAGTGATCTACAGAATACACTGTTAAGTCAAAAATATTAAGATAGAGAAAGTATGTATAGTGAGTTATTACTTATCTAGGAAGAGAAGGGTAATCCAAAAAATTAAAAAAAAAAAAAGTTCACCTATAAAGCGAGGGAAGGAATATGGTCATAGCTCAAGGATAGGCACTAGACTTTTAATACAACTTATTTTTTTATTTGACTTTTGGGACATGTAAATATTGTACATGCTTATTAAACTTTAAAAAAGCAATCCCTATAAACTGAAAATAAAATGAGACAAATTAACCAAATCAGGTATGCACTTGGTAGTTTACATAGCCAGTTCGTGGCTTAACCCCATAGGTTCCAGAAACCTAAAAAAGTAATTTTATTGTGCATTACTTTTGGGATATACTTATTATTATTCTGAGGATGCTACGCATCAGTGAAGGAGAAAGAAAACAAGTTATTATGTGATATTCTAATTATATCAACCACTTTCCTGAGAACCAAGGGTCTTAGCATGGAAGAAAGAGATACGGACATTCTTCTGTCCTCTGAAGAAGCTTGAAAGCAATGACCAGCTCAAAGAAATGAGTGCCCCTAATGTCCTAATCATAGTCACAAAATTGTATACTGATGAAAAGAACTAGAACTTCCTAGAAAAATGGACAATTCTAGGTCTGGAGAAAAAAATATGCAAGATAAGCCTACGAACTTTTATCTAGGGTCATGTCAAATATGTCTAAATCCATGAGTTAATATAATGTTTTTATAAAAGCCAACAAACAAACATGAATTGGTTATTGGTGAAAGATGCTAAGGATCCAAACAAATTCTGAAAACTGGCAAATAAAAGGAAAAAATTAAATATATATATTGTCTTTTCTTACATGAACTGTACCATTAGACCATAAATGAGGGAAAGTTTTTCTTAAGAGAAATATTCCAGATAATAAATGAAAAAGAGAAAAAAATGGAATATCATCATTTTGCAACAATTAATAAATAAATGGATTAGCATTGATCAACAGTAGCTTCTAATATTACAAAAAGAGAAAGACCACCAGACATTATGTGTCTCCTGATAGAAGACAACACTACCCATATGAAGCAGTCTTGACAAAAAAAAAAAAATTGAACTTGAATCGGATACAGCCTATAGAGTCAACCAAGAAACAGAAAAGCATGTTGAACTACGTCATAGGAATAGAATCATCCACAGTAGGGAAATTCTCTATAATTTAACAATCTGGTTTCTTCAACAACAAATGCAAGGGAGGGATTGAAGGGCAGGGCAGGAAAGAAAGAAGGGAGGGAGAAAAGCGAGGAATGAAGAGGGAAACTACAGATTAAAAGAGACTTAAAAGATATATTGACTAATCACAGTGCATGGGCCTTATTTTAATCCTGATTCAAATAAACTAAACCAAAAAAAATCACGAAATTTATGAAAAAAATTGAAATTGGAACACTGATGAATATTTGAAATTAAGAAGTATTAGTATTTTTAATGTATAATAATACTAATGCAAATACTTTTTTAAAAAAACTTTATCTTTCAGAAATACATACTGAAATATTTATGGTTGACAAAATATAATTCAGAGATGTACTTCAAAACAACACAGAATGGGGAAGTGGATGGGCGTATAGAGAGGTCATGATTGGCCATGGGTTAATAAATATTGGGGCTGGGTGATGAGTATTTGAGGGTTCACGATACTATTCTTTTTAACATTTGCATGTTTGAAATTCGGCATTATAAATAACTGAATTTTTGTTTGTTGCTTTAAGTGCACGACATTCAGTAGCAATGAGAACACTTAATACCCAGAGCTTGGTTTCTAAATACAATTTGCCACTAAAAGGAATAAGTGCTCCTAGTAGAAATGAGGCTTACAGGCCTGAGGGGAAAAATATAAAGTGGGCCAGGGCCATCTTTTGCTAGAAAGCAAAGAAGTAAAAGAATGGGGCTTTTGACATGTGGCATGCCAAAATTACACAGAAGTCAGCTTAAAGGGGCGCCCCACTGGTCAAACTTGGGTAAATTTGATTAAAAAAAAGATAATAATTAAAGATTTATAAAATACTGCATGATAAAAGAAGCCATCAATCTGTAATGATATTCAAAAACAAAAAAAAAAGAGAAAGGAGGAAAAGCAATTACTATAGAAGAATACCAGACAATAAATGTAAGAGGAATAATAGAAAATAGCCATTTTTTTTTTATTGTTTCAGGCAAGGATTATAAGAGGATGTTAAAAATATCAGGTTATAGGTTATTATTGGCAAATAGGATATTCACACAATCTCAAGGATCACCCCTACGGATTAGTATTAATTGCAAATAGACAAAGGTAACTTTACAATGGGGAGCTCTGACTGACATCTTCTTAACCAAGTGATCAAACTTCATCGCCAACTATGGGATCATCTGACACCATGCATCTCTTGGTGGGAGGTATAAGTGTCATCTGCGCAGTAGTCTAACCAAAACTGTTTAACTGAATCCAGTCATGAGGAAATAATCATACAAATTCAGAAAACTGGTTTGAACTCTTCAAAAATATTAAAGAAGAGAAAAAGCAGGGAGGCTGACCTAGATTCAAGGAAACCAATGCAACTCAATACAACTTATGACCCTTGACTGAATTCCAGATCAGGGATAGGGGGAGAAGCTATAAAAGAAAATATTGTGACAACTGGGGAAATTTTACATGTCTGTACGTTAAATATATTAGTGTTCAATGTCTTCAGTATTGTAACTGTGTTGTGCTTTATATGCCCTTACTAAGCTATAAAAAAAAAGTGGGTGTATATATACATAGATGATAGATAGATAGATAGGCAGTAAGGTAGATAGATAAATGATAGATAGATAGATAAAACAATGGTTGTAAAATGTAAATAACAGGTGAATTGCTCTATGCAAAGGTTGCATAGGTGTTTGATACACTATTCTCTTGCCAAGCTCTTTAATGTTATTAAATTTTCAAAATAAAAAGCTGATGAAAAATATGATCTACTTATATCTAGTGACATCTGAATAGTTAAGTTACGTACCGGTAACTGGGCATCATTCCCTTTGCTCTTCTGTGTCCTATCCTTTGAGCTCTCTTTCTGATTGACAGCTTGCTCTGCAAATGAGACCTCCAAGTTGATGTCTGTTTCAGAGGCGGTTGGCTCCTCAGGCACCAGTGGGCTCAGTTCCTTTTTATCAACAAGAAAGCTAGATGCTTGGTCTGGGGGGAAAAAAGAGAGATCAGATTCATATGATTTATTTCTCTTTTTACTGTTAACTCATACTTACCCCCATTGCCGTCGAGTCAATTTTCACTGGACTATGTAAAAACCTGTGGGAAGAGTACTATTTTCTCTGGGCAATAATTGCTGTTGGGTACCATCAAGCAGATTCTGACTCATAGCAACCACATGTGACAGAGTAGACTAGCCCCATAGAGTTTTCTTGGCTGTAATCTTTACAGGACCAGACTGTCAGATTTCTCTTGCGGAGCTGCTCAGTGAGTTCAAACCACCAACCTTTTAGTTAGCAGCCAAGTGCTTAACCATTGCACCATTAAGCCTCCTTAGGCAATAATTACTGTTATTTTAATAGAAAAAAGTATATTTATAGAATCCTAAAAATGATGTGGGAGCTGAGGAGGGCAGCGGAGCAGAAGGTAAAACCATAGTTCAAACTCAGACTCTTTGAGATCACAATTCTTAAATTCCAACTGCAAAACATTGCAGGAGGATATAAAATTCTTAATGAAAACATCTCACGAATAAGTAAACAATTTTTTTTGTATTTTTTTTTTATTGTTCTTTAGATGAAGGTTTTCAGAACTAGCTTCTCATTAAACAGTTAGTATATTGTTTTATGACATTAGTTAACAACCCCACAACATCTCAACATTCTCCCTTCTTGACCTTGGGTTCCCTATTACCAGATTTCCTGTCCCCTCCTCCATTCTAGTCCTTGCTTGTGGGCTGATGTGCCCCTTTAGTCTCATTTTGTTTTATGGGCCTGTCTAATCTTTGGCTAAAGGGACCTCGAGAATGACTTCATTACTTAGCTAAAAGGGTGTCCGGGGCCATACTCTTGGGGATTCTCCAGTCTCTGTCAGGCCAGTAAGTCTGGTCTTTTTTTGTGAGTTAGAATTTTGTTCTACATTTTTCTCCAGCCCTGTCCGGGACCTTCTATTGTGATCCTGGTCAGAGCAGTCAGTGGTGGTAGCTGGGCACAAACTCATTGTACTGGACTAGGTCTGGTAGAGGCCGTGGTTGTTGTGGTCCGTTAGTCCTCTGAACAATCTTTCCCTTGTATCTTTAGTTTTCTTCATTCTTCCTTGCTCCCAAAAGGGTGAGACCAGTGGAGTATCTTAGATGGCTGCTCACAGGCTTTTAAGACCCCAGACACTACTCACCAAAGCAGAATGTAGAACATTTTCTTTATAAACTACTTTATGCCAGTTGAGCTAGATGTTCCCTGAGACCATGGTCCCCACAGCCCTCAGCCCAGCAATTCGGTTCCTCAGGGAGTAGTAAGCTTAATTTTGTTATTATTATTATTACTACACTGAGGAATTAAAAGCAAAAAAAAAAAAAAAAAAAAGCAGGTGGATTATTGTAATCTCTCATAGAACTAGTGATAAATCATTTCATTTGCTCACAGTTGAACAGATTTCTGGAAAAAACCTTTTCCACGCCCTGCATTTCCTTTATGGACTGCTACCTACCTATCATAGTGAAAATTCCAAAACAAGAGTTTATTGCCAAAACTTATTGCTGTGGGAGTCAGGTCTAGAGGTGCCTGGTACAGCAACCAACAGGTTTTACACCTGACTTGATATCAAAGAGTATAAAAAGTTTTTACAACTATAAACACTGATCAAATAAATTTCACATATTTTTATCAACATTTCAAGGATAAAAAATAAGTTTAACATTGTTTTGGTTCTTTTGGTTTGTTTGTTGTTAATCTTCCAGGAAAGAACTGACATTCAAAACTCCTTTGAAGAAAATACTTCTAGATTCAATTATTTAGTAAGTATTTGGCTTTTAATGCAACTCAAATTTTTAAAACTCTGGAACCAATAACAGGGATTATTGATATTTTCTCATTGCATACCATTAATTCACAGTGAGAAGTTCTGAACTACAAAATAAACTTACATAGTGTACTTACTTGCTCACAGCAAGGTAATGGAAGGTAAAGGGCCTAGGACTGTTAGAGGCAGAACTTCAAACACTGCTGGCTTCAGAAAAATGTCATGCTTAGAGTCATTTAAATTAAAAACAAAAAAAACTTTATTTTAATCAAAATAAAATTAAGAAGGAATTATAAATCTAATCTTATTCACTCCCATTCAATAGGCAGGTGTGGCTTCAGGGACATGCTACCTGGGCAGTCACACAGGGCCCCTGTGCTCAGAAGGGCCCCACACTTGGTTTAATACTCTGTTGTCACTGTCTTGAAATTTGAACAAGAAGCCCCGCATTTTCAGTTTGCACTGGACCCTGCAAATTACGTAGCTGGTCCTGGTGGTATCTCAAAGTTAAGAAAGTAAGCAACAGTTACTTATGTAAACTCCAAAAATAAGGATAAATTTGAAGCTCCTTATTATCCTGGGTTTGATTCCCGGCCAAGGCACCTCAAAGACAGCCACCATCCATTAATGAAGGCTTGCTACATTGCTACAATGCTGAACGGGTTTCATCAGAGCTTCCAGACTAAGAGAGACTAGGAAAAAAGGTTTGGCAATCTACTTCCAAAAATTAGCCAGGGAAAATCCTATGGATCTCAACAGTCTGATCCCATTGTACGTAGGGTTGCCAAGAGTTGGGGCCAACTTGACAGCAGCTAAACAACAAAATTATTAATAAATATTTATCTTCCTGGTATCTATGTCACGTTTATGTTTTTTAACAGCCTGTGACAATTGTTTAAAAAATTAGAATACCTACAGCTCTTTTATGATTAATTTTTAAATTATTAACATAAATGTCAAAGCACAGTTTTATTTTCCCACTAATTTGTACTGTTTTATGTTTTAGGTGAATATGTATGTTGGTTTCCCAGGAAACCATGCTAAGACAAAAAAAAAAAAATGATTAGCTGTTTTCTTAAATTAGAAACTGCCTTTTCAGCAGCTGAGTGTTTGTGGATAAGAATTTTAAAAGCACTCCCTTTTTCTGTTGAACACCACCATCTGGATTCCAATAAACACCACCACCACCTCCGAACAAGTGGACTGTGCTGAATTCAAAACTGAGCAGAGGGATTATATTATAATTAAGTTAGAATATATTTAAGATATAAAATTTCCATCAAAAACATAGCAAATATTTTCACCACAATAAATAGAGGAGAAAAAAAAAAAATGGCAAGTAAAAATATGGTAGATAAAAGCCTGAAATTCAACTGGCAAATTGAGTTAAGGAATACAGTAGGAAAACTCATATATCTAGGGTGTGGGAAGTTACTGCTACAAAAAACAAGGGAAATGGATGGTTAATTGGCTAATAAAGGTATCTAACAAATCAATTATCTACTCTCAAAGAGAATAGTTAACAGAGAAGCCTGAGATAAAACTTTTGGCTCCTAAAATCCTAACGTGTAAACCATATTAATTTATTTGATTTATTCTCCTTTGGTTTTGAAGTGAACAGTAGCACTAGGTTACTAATATTTTATAAATGTCCTTAGAGGTCTGTGATTGTCCAAACTATCCTGAAGTGCTTGTATCTTATAAGAGATCTCCCTTCCTCCACAGAAATCCAAAAAGAAAACAATAAAATACATGTATCAGTATGGAAGGTTAAAAAGGTCAATGTGGGTATTATTAAGTGTACTAAGCACTGGACTTTTAAAATGGGCAGAGTTGTACAGTTTGATGAAAAGTTAAGACTAATACTTAACAGTGGATTAATTATTTGGAAATGTGAAGAATAACACAAATAACATTAAAGCTTTATAACTTTTTTCATTTAGAAAAAAGCATCTTTAAATAGACATGTATAAAAACTCAAGTGTGGGAAAAACATTGAAAGCAGACCATGTTGTCCACGACTTTGGATTTCAGGTGGAAACAGCCTCACTTTTGAACTCCTGACAGTGTTTTCCATGCATTTCATTCTGAACCTTCCAATGTTTGCATAACACTGGATAATTCACTGGCTAGCTAGAGAGCATGGCATTGCCCAGAACAGGTGCGGTAGTAAATACTCCGTGATTTGGATGGCTTTACACAGATTCTCTTGTTATTCTGATTTGAGGCTCTATGCCCACTTCATAGCATTCTAGCAAAAGCAGATGTAAATCAGGCAGCAAGTTTGTCACATTTCACTTGCCTGCTGCAAGCTAGGCTGGAAAGCACTCATATAATGAACTTGTCTTCCAGAACTTCTGTTTATATAGCCTGCATCACGATCTCTGGCAAGGGAAGAAAACACCAGTGAAGAACAATATTTCCCTCAGTATCTGTTTAGCAATCGCCACTCTTTCCCAAAGCCCGAAGCATATTGACATTGGCACAGATGGTTCTTCTTGCCTGATGACCCGGCTCTCTAGCAGGCCAGTGCTGGCTAGTCGACTTAGCTTGATTGCCACTTAAATGGTTGCTGGTACACAGATTTGGGAAACACCCAGTAATTTCATCCTGATATAAAACATGTGACTAAAGAAACCTCCATAGGATAATAGTAAACAGCAAGTGCTTAATAAATATATAAATATGTATGTGTGTATATGCAGGAGCCCTGGTGGCTCAGTGGCTAACAGCTTAGCTGCTAACCAAAAGGTCAGGGGTTCAAACCCACCAGCCACCCCATGACAGAAAGATGTGGCAGTCTGCTTCCCTAAAGATAACAGCCTTGGAAAGCCTATGAGACAGTTCTACCCTTTCTTATAGGGCCGCTATGAGTCAGAATCCACTCGACAGCACACAACGACAACAACAAATGTGTGTATATACAAACATGCAAGCATTTATGTATCTATTTACTATATATACATATGTGGGGGCAGTGGGGGCTCAGTGGTAGAATTCTTGCCTTCCATGCAGGAGACCCGGGTTCGATTCCTGGACAATGCACCTCATGAATAGCCATCACCCATCTGTCAGTGGAAGCTTGCGTGTTTCTGTGGTGCTGAACAGGTTTCAGTGGAGCTTCCACACTAACACAGACTGGGAAAAAAGGCCTGGCATTCTACCTCCCAAAAATCAGCCAATGAAAACCCTATGGATCACAATGGTCTGAGCTGCAACTGATCACGGGGCTGGCACAGGACCAGGCAGTATTTCATTCCATTGTGCATGGGGTCATAATGAGTCAGGGGCCAACTCAACAGCAGCTAACAACAACAACATACAGAGATATAGATACGTTTTGTTTTCTTTTAAAGCCAGGGGTACAGGAGAGAAGTTCTGAGAAAAATACAGAAGGAAAAATAGAGATATTGAATGCCCAAAGACTCCAAAATATCCCATACAATCTTGCACTAACATACGATTCTTATAGCAAGGTTGGGAATACCACTCAGACCTCCACAGTTCACTGATACCCATTTTCCCACTAATCCCAATCCAAACACAACCTTAGTGATGGCAAGATCACTCTAGGCACCAAGTTTCAAAAATCTAAACAAGAGAAAAGGACAAATCCCTGAACCGGAATCCAGCAGCCACAGGCCACCTTTGTCATAATTTTTCAAATAACAATACATTAAGGGCTAAATTTATAAGCTTAACTCTATGATCTTAATTTAGAAGGCTTTTCCTTTTCATAAACAAATGAAATAGCTATAATTTCTTTCTTGATAAAATACTAAAAAAGTCTTCATATTTATTTTCATCTCTGCTTTGAATTTCTAAATCATTTCTGAAATAACAAATGTGAAAAAAGGAAAAAAAGGAGAACTGTAATCAATTATGCAAGAAACCTCTGAAAAACAATGCATTTATGAAATAAGAGCTTTCAATTTGAGAACAAGTTTCCAAAAAACATTGAATTGTACACTTTAAATGGGTGGTTTATGTGGTATGAGAATGATATCTCAAAGCTGTTATAAAACAAAATTGTAAAAAAAATAAAAATTGTAGGCTCACATATAGATAACAAAACAGAATTTCTTTAAAATAAAAAAAAGCTAGTAATAAATGTGAGATAATTAAAGCTAATTTCCTCCCTTGCTAGAGATCATGATGCAGGCTATATAAACAGAAGTTCTGGCTCCACCCACTAGATATGTGACCTGTGGAGAGAGACTTCACATCTCTAAGCTGCAGTTCTCTCATTCATAAAATTGATTAAGAATAGTACTGTTATGGATTGAATTGGGTCCCCCCAAAATATGTGTTGTAAATCCTAACTTCTTGCCTGTGGTTATAATCCCATTTGGCAATGGGCTGTCCTTGTTATGTTAATGAGGCAGGATTAGTGTAGGGTGTATCTTGAGTCAATCTCTTTTGAGATATTAAAGAGTGTAAATAAGTGATCAGAGCAGAGATGAGGGAAGAGAGATGCCAAGCCAAATGAAGTTTGCCCAGGAGCAGAAGCTCAGAAGAGACAAGGACCTTCCTCCAGAGCTGACAGAGAGAAAAAGCCTTCCCCTAGAGCCAGTGCCCTGAATTCAGACTTCTAGCCCCCTAAGCAAAAATAAACTTCTGTTTGTTAAAGCCACCCACTTGTGATTATTTCTGTTACACCAGCACTAGATAATTAAGACGAGTACCTACTAGGTTGGGTTCTTGAGTATATTAAATGAGGTAAACCTCTCTGTATAGTATCTGGCACATGGTAAACATCTGGAAGTGATAAGAATTTATGCATATAGATGTTGTAACAAATAGAGATCCACAAACATAAAAAAAAAGTAAAAGCCCACTATATGCTCAGCCTCATGTAATTATCCACGTAATGCACCTTACCTTAGTATTTTAATACAATTTGTTTACCAGAAATGAAGATGAATGTTTTAAAAGGTTGTATCTGATTGTTATAGTAATAAATGGGAAAACACAAGAGAACAGGTCCAACATACCATCTTCTCCTTGGTGTTTGTTTTCATTTGTTCTGACTGACTGAGATTCAGTGCCATCTGGAGCCTAAAGATAGAAAATGGGCCATTTAGTCATCTCCAACTTACAACCAGAGAAAATGGTATTGTAAATAATTGCCTTACCAACCTTTAAAGTATAAGATATATACTCAGAATTATAAGAATCACAGTGGGGGAAAATATGGCTATAATCAACAAGCAATCATCTGACAAATATTTGATTAGCTATGGCTCATAAGACACAGCCCTACTAAGCCCTGTGGAGAATATGAAAAATATCAAGAGTGAACATCATCAAGGACATCGCCAGTGGAGGGGGAAAAGCAAACATGTTCAAAAGCCAGTAACATTCCATCAACTGATGAACGGATAAATAAAATGTAATATATCCATATAAAGGAATATTGTTTGGTTTATTTGGCAATGAAAAGAAATGTAGTACTGATACACATCACAACATGGTTGGGCATTGGAAACATTATGCTGAGTGAAAGAAGTCACAATGGCCTTCATATTGTATGATTCCATTTACATGAAATGTCCAATATAGGCAAATCCAAAGAGATAGCAAGTATATTAGAGGCTGCCTAAGAGGGGCTCATCTACTAATTTATGCACCAACCATTAATGCCAACAATGAAGAAATTGAAGATTTTACCAACTTCTGCAGTCTCAAACTGATCAAACATGCAATCAAGATGCATCGATAATTACTGGTAATTGGAATGCAAAAGTTAGAAACAAAGAAGATCAGCAGTTGGAAAATAAGGCCTTTGTGACAAGAACAACACTGGAGATTGACAGAATTTTGCAACACCAACTACTTGTTCATTGCAAATACCTTTTTTAAACTATATAAATGGTGACTATACTTGTGGATTTCACCAGATAGAATACACAGGAATCAAATGGACTACATTTGTGGAAAGAGACAATGGAGAAGCTCAGTATCATCAGTCAGAACAAGGCCAGAGGCCGAGTGCGGAACAGACTATCAATCCCTCATATGCAGGTTCAAGCTGAAGCTGAAGAAAATTAAAACAAGTCCACAAGAGGCAAAATATGACCTTCAGTATATCCCACATGAATACAGAGACCATCTTAAGAGCAGATTTGACACACTGAACACTAATGATCGAGGACAAGATGAGTTGTGAGATGACATCAAGGACATGACACCTGAAGAAAGCAGTTAAGTCATTAAAAAGATAGAAAAGAAAGAAAATACCAAAACAAATGTCAGAAGAGATTCTGAAACTTGCTCTTGAACATAAAGTAGCTAAAACAAATGGAAAAAAAAAAGATGAAGTCAAAGAGCTGAACAGAAGATTGTAAAAGGCGACTGAAGAAGACAAACTAAGTATCATAATGAAATGTGCAAAGACCTGGAGTTAGAAAACTCAAAGGGAAGAACAAGCTTGGCATTTCTGAAGCTGAAAGAACTGCAGAAAAAATTCAAGCCTCAAGCTGAAGGATTCTATGATCAAAATATTGAATGATGCAGGAAGCATCAAAATATGATGGGAGGAAAACATAGTCACTGTACCAAAAAGGATCAGTCAATGTTCAACCATTTCAGGAGGTAGCGTATGATCAAGAACCGATGGTGCTGAAGGAAGAAGTCCAAGCTGCACTGAAGGCACTGGTGAAAAACAAGGCTTCAGGAATTGATGGAATATCAATTGAGATGTTTCAACAAACCAAGGCAATGCTGGAAGCGCTCATTCTTCTATGCCAAGAAATCTGGATGACAGCTAACTGGAAGAGATCCATATTTGTGCCCACTCCAAAGAAAGGTGATCCAACAGAATGCAGAAATTATCAAACAATATCATTAACATAACATACAAATAAAATTTTGCTGAAGAGAATTCAAAAACGGTTGCAGCAGTACACTGACAGGGAACTGCTGGAAATTCAAGCTGGATTCAGAAGAGGACATGAAATGAGGGAAATCATTGCTGATGCCAGATGGATCATGACTGAAAGCAGAGACTAAAAGAAAGATGTTTACCTGTGTTTTACTGACTATACAAAGACATTCTACTGTGTGGATCATAACAAATTATGGATAACATTGCCAAGAATGGAAATTCCAGAACACCTAATTGTTCTCATGCAAAACCTGTAATAGACCAAGAGGCAGTTGCTGAAGCAGAACAAGGGGATACTGCATGGTTTAAAACAGGAATGGTATGTGCCAGGGTTGTATCTTTCCACCATGCTTATTCAATCTGTATGCTGAGCAAATAATTTGAGAAGCTGGACTATATGAAGAAGAGTGTAGCATCAAGATTGGAGGAAGACTCATTAACAACCTGCGATATGCAGATGACACAATCTTGCTTGCTGAAAGTGAAGAGGACTTGAAGCACTTACAGATGGAGACCAAAGATTACATCACAACATAAAGGAAACAAAAATCCTCACAAGTGGACCAATAAGCAACATCATGAAAAACAGCGAAAGACTAAGGTTGTCAAGGATTTCATTTTACTTGGATCCACAATCAACATCCATGGAAGCAGCAGTCAATAAGTCAAATGACATATTGCATTGAGCAAATCTGCTGCAAAAGACCTCAAGTGTTACAAAGCAAAGACGTTACTTTGAAATCTAAGGTGTGCCTGACTCAAGCCATGGTATTTTCAATCAAGTATTGGACAATGAATAAGGAAGACCAAAGTTATGGTGTTGGCGAAGAATATTGAATATACCACGGACTGCCAAAAGAACAAACAAATCTGTCTTGGAAGAAGTACAGCCAGAATGTTCCTTAGAAGCGAAGATGGTGAGACTTTGTCTCACATACTTTGGACATGTTAACAGGAGGGACCAGTCTCTGGAGAGGGACATCATGCTTGGTAAAGTAGAGGGTCAGTGAAAAAGAGGAAGACCACTAAGGAGATGGACTGACACAGTGGTAGCAACAATGGGCTCAAATATAGCAATGATTGCGAGTATGGCGGAGACCAGGCAGTGTATTGTTCTGTTGTACACAGGGTTGCTATGAGTTGAAACTACACCTAATCAAAAAGGAGCCCTGATAGGGTAGTGTTTAAAGTGCTCAGCAGCTAACTAAAAGGTAGGCAGTTCGAACTTACCAGCTGTTCCGTGGGAGAAAGATGTGGCAGTCTGCTTCTGTAAAGATTACAGCCTTGGAATCCCAATGGGGCAGAATTCTACTCTGTCCTATAGGGTTGCTATGAGTCAGAATCGACTCAACAGCAATGGGTTTGGTTTGGTGTTTTGGGGTTAAAGCTGGGGGTAAGCGGAGGGCTGCAAGGAAATAAGGAGTGCCTACTAACTGTTAACGGGGTTTCTTTTTGGTGTAATAAAAATGTGCTAAAATTAATTGCGGTGATTATTATACAACAGTGAATATACAAAAAACCACTGAACTGTATACTTCAAGTGGGTAAACTGTATGGTATGAGAATGATATCTCAATAACACTGTTATAAAAATACAAGCTGACATATAGGTAACTAAATAGAATTTCTTTCAAATAAAAAAGAGCTAGTGGTAATAAATGAAAGATAATTAAAGATAAATTATCGAACATGCAATAAAAGCTATGATATTTGAAAAAACTCCTTTTTCAAGGGTTGGGGCAGTGACACCTGAAGAATGCAGCTCTCCAAGCATTTATGGACATGGTAAAATATGACTGGCTTCCTTTACCAGTAAGTAAGTCCTCCTTCCTAAGCATGGCTTCAAAAGAAATCCAGGGATCAGAAAGAGGAGTCAGGATGAATCATATGAAGACGTCTATCTGAATGAAAGATTTTTAAAATAATTACTTTACTGGATTTTCATCTCTACCCAAAACACAGAAAATAACCTTTGTCACCACATATTTCACCTCAAGCTGTTAGCCAAGAAGAACTCCCCTCTCCAACTCAAGTCTAAGAAGCATCTAGAAAAGCACTAAGGCAAGTATGTGTAGGCCATTAGTGTACGACTTAGAGACTGGCAGTGCCCGGGACAGTGCACAGCAGCTACCAAATCACAGAAGTAATAGGAGTATTCCTGGCACCACTTTAATCACCTCAGGGCAGAGCGATACCATTCTTCTACCCTCTGCCCATAAGCTTGCAGAAAGCTCATCCTCCGTGGCACAAGGAGTATAATAAGTGATTCTAATCTTACATATGAACATGTATTTTGGAGCATGTGGTTAGAATTGTTTTTCTCAGCAATTGAAGATGACAGCACAGATGGTATTCATTTCTGTATTATATTTCCTAGTGTCAGCAAGGGATTCATGAGGAAGCATTTAAAATGGAAGAATTGAATATACTCTTACTCTGAGAACAGAAGAACCGCACATAAGGATGGCTAGCCCATGTTTGCTTGAGGGATTGGGGATGTAAAGCGAATTTCTAATGGGTGGTGGCGTTTCAGTTAAAGGCATGCAGTGTAAGCAAGTTAACATTATTTTAATTTACTTGTGCTATTTCTCTCAATGACTCCAGATGATACAATCCACCAATTACCTGGACTCAAATCATGTGGTTCAGATATACCAGGAATTTGCTGGAAAATGCTGCTTCTAGCAGTGAATCACAACATTCTCTTGGAGACTGGCAGGAATCCCACATTACATATTTTGTGGTTAAAAAGCAAAGATGTCACCTTGAGGACAAAGGTGCACCTTACCCATGGTATTTTCAATCACTTCATACGCATGCGAAAGCTGGACGATGAATAAGGAAGACCAAAGAAGAAATGACACCTTTGAATTATGGTGTTGGCGAAGAATACTGAATATACCATGAGCTGGCAGAAGAACGAACAAATCTGTCTTGGAAGAAGTACAGCCAAAGTGCTCTTTGGAAGGGAGGATGGCTGAGATTTCATCTTTAGACATATTATCAGGAGGGACCAGTCCCTGGAGAAAGATATCATGCTTGGCAAAATAGAGGGTCAGTGAAAAAGAGGAAGACCCTCAACGAGATGGATTGACACAGTGGCTGCAACAATGGGCTCAAACATAACAAAGATTGTGAGGATGGCGCAGGATTGGGCAGTGTTTTGTTCTGTTGTGCATGAGGTCGCTTTGAGTCAGAACTGACTAAATGGCACCTAACAACAACAACAACATATATTTTGCTTAGGCTCATGTCTCTGACCCTTCCCCTTTTCACTTCCTTTTAACACACTTATGAAGCATTCTTTAATTGGGAAGGAACTGTCATAATACTATATTTCCCTAACATTCTTTTTTCTATAGCTGGAAACCTAGTCCAGTTCTTCAATTCTAGTGGGTGTCCCAAAGATCCTCTGGGTGGTAAGCAAGTGCTTAACTGCCTCACAACAGCAAGAGATATGCCTGTAGAAATCTAGTGAAACTCCTCAAAATGGACTGGGTTTGATCCACAACTGACCATGCAAATGGAGTAACAATCCGTAGCTATTAAGAATTATTCTGAAGAACGAAATATCTATAAAAAGTGAAAAAAAACTCTGACATAAAGGTATCTTAAATATAAGCCCTTTCGTTCCCCCACTTTTTCTAAAGAATCGTAAAATTTTTGTTGTCCTGTATTTATAGTATAAATGGAACCTGATGTTCAGATTGCTTAATAGCGGAATCATGTATAGAAACCCAAGTCCAAATATAGTAGGACAGGGAGTGATTAAAAGCATGTACTTTGGAGTCAGATAGATTTGAGTTTACTATCTATAGGACATTGAGCAACTTACTTGAAGTCTATGAGCCTCAGCTATAGAATGGAAATGATAATATCTCATTCATAGGACAACTGTGAGAATTAAATAAGTCATGCAAAGTAGTTAGCATAGTAAGTGTTCTGTAATGGTGGTGACAATTATAATTGTTATTATGGTCATCGCAATCATCATCCAAAGCTCCCTTTCTTTGGTCTCATTCCAACCACTCCACTGAGTCTCCTAAGCTAGAGCTACTGAAAGTGTGGTCTGTGGATAGACCATGAAATAAATCAATTTGCCCCTAAGCACATTATTTAGGTTCAGGTGACTTCTTCTTCCCACCCCCTTTGAGGGCAGAAGGGTAGGTAGCAAGACTTTGTCCATGTAGGAAGAATGTTAATTCATATTCCAGTGCAAGCTTCTTATCTTCTAACAGACAAGTAACAAATAGTTCGCTGGCTGTTTTGGGTGGCACTGTTCTAGGTCATACAAGCCTTGTACTTCTACCATACCTTCCCTGATACCTAATCACTCATGAGTGTCACCATCTCTACCAAACTTCATTGGCTTCCATTAATAAATTAATCATTTTAGCAAATATGTACTGAAATCTTCTATATGATATGCACTGTCTTTAGCACCAAGCATAAAAGGGAAGTTTCTTCATGTCTCAGGGTTCCTACTTTGTAATTCAGCTGCAATTAGCTCCTTCACACTCTACTTCCATTCATTCCAAAAGGAGTCTATGAAAAATTAAATATTCCTATAAGAATTAATAGATAACAACCATCTACATTCTACTTTTCTATAATAGCCAATTGGCAGTCACGTTGTTTGGGAAGCCTTCCCTGCCACCCCAATGGGGTTAGGCCCACCTCTAACACACCAAGGGCACCATCTTCCCCTAACACAAGGAGTATCACACTGAATTTTAAGTTGCTTAATTTTCTGCCCCATCAGGATAGCTTCTAGAAGGGCAGGGATTAAGTCACTTGTTCACTGCCAGCTTGGAGCTTCAGTGCCTGGAATGTAATAGGTGCTCACTAAGTTTTTAACGATTTGCACTAAATTGGATTGGCCCAGTTGATTCTAAGCAATAATTTCTTTGCCTTAATAGCAAAACAAAATAAAAACCTACCTTTTCCTTTGACTCTATCTGTTGAGCAAATATGTCTCTGACGTCAGGAATCTGGTACTGTTTGTTTTTCTTTCTCAAGGTCTGGGAGACTGTCTCTACCCTTTTCTGAACAGCTGCTGCCTGGGTCCGAGTCAATGTTGATAAAAACACCATGCTTTCTTGGGAATCACCAGCAGACTCTCCGAAGAGATTGGACAAACCGGCCTCCTTTAGCCATTCTTCTTCCAATTCTCCCTCTAAGACAGTAGAGAAAAATGGTATTTAAGTTTTTAAAAATGTGAGAACTTTTACATGTTTCAAGCTGTTAAAAACTCTCACCTAAACTCTTCTATTACAACCAAACCACAGTGCTAAGAATCATTATCTGAAGCCTGGACAACTGCCATAAACTCCAGCCACAAACACATCAAATTTTAGATCCATTTCATATATATGCAATTAAAAAAATTAAATGACTTCACATGTAATTAACCTCTATAACTTCCCAGCAGATTAACTAGGGAAGATGATACTGTTTCCCTTCCAGAGATGAGCAAGCAATGAAAAGATAACTTACTTCCATAGAGTTATAGAAGAGAGTTAATGCTGGGGACATGCATTAAAGCCCAGTTTCTTGGCTTAAATTCAGGCAGAGTCTTAAATACCCCAGAGTCCAACACTAATTTATGGGAATACTTGATTTTTGTTCACTGTAGCTGACAGGGAATGTGGAAAGAAGTAAAGAGCATCTGGACATCAGGAACTAATCAATTCCAAATTAATTTTTCAATCCTCCTAGTCAGCACATCAGATTCATGTTATTTTAACAAATTAAGAAAAAAAACAGCAGAAGATTTTTTCAGCAAAGAGCTTATTATAGGAAAATAATTAAATAACTGAATCAATTCAAAATACTGAAAGCAGGAAGTAAACAGTAAAGCAAATATAGTGTAGGGTCTATTTAAGGCAAAAGAGAAGACAACTAGAAGTGATGTACTCCAAGCACCGTGTTTATAAGTAAGAGAGAAAAATGAAAATGCACAGACAGGACACAAAAGACCTCGGTTTGTACCTCATCTCTCTACCTTGATAGCCATGCTACTTTGTACAAGTCACTTAGCCTCAAGCAGGCTCCATTTTCTCATCTGTAAACTCAAGCATAGCTGCTCTGGCTACCTTATAACCAAATGTGAGAATGTTATGTGGGAAGAGCTTTGCAAAGCACTAATACAGCTCATATCACTTGGTATAACACTGATTGGTTTGCCTATCCTTCTATCTATAAACTTCTTGAGGGCAAAAATCAATTATTAATAACCTTGGCTTGAAAAACTATAATCTGGGGCCAGGCATTCTGTGTGCCAGGCAACAAAAACTGTTTACTGAAATGAAAAGTAAGTCATTATTATTAATGCTGTTAAGGTAGAATTCAGTAGAGGTATATAAAACCAAATTGCCAGAAAAAGCTGGTATTGCCAGGACAAGGAAATCAAAAAAGATTACTATAATCGTTACTTGTTCTGTTAAAAAAACAGAAGTAAAACTCAATCAACTTAAAGCTGAAGAAAAGGCCTGGGCATGTAGAATCATTCCCAGTCTTTTTGATGATCACATTGTGAACACTAATATATGAATTTATCTTAAGCTCGAAGAATTACAAAACAGCTAAAGACAAACGGTAATGTAACCTTTAAGTTACATTAAGTAACCTTTAAGTCAGGCTTAAATACTGTTGTCTCTAACATGTTCTCTCCTTATTCAGCAGACAACCTGTATACTGTTTTTCTCTTGAAACAGAGACACAAAATTTGAGAGGTACTATTCATTATCACAAATAAGCTCAACTTTACTGGTAATATATTTGAGAAAGAATGAAAATGAAAAGGAATCTAAACAAAAGAATAAGATTATATATATTTTAATTTAAGAAATTTTAAATCACGGAAAATTCTCTGGGTTTTTTTTTTCTTCTTTTTTTAAGTATCATTGATAGATTTTTAAAGCAATGTTGTAACAAGGGAGAAAAACTTATTTACATAGATTTAGCTGCTTAAACGACAGGCTCCAAGCCGTTTAGCTAAGTAGGCATTCCGTTGAGAGGTAGGCCTCTATTAGTGGGTCACGAGGAATTGACAGCAGCCCTTTTCTGTTTGGAATTTATATAAATTTATACATAAAAGTTTAAATTTTATGGATGACATAAAGCATAGAAAGGGAATTAACAGATGATAGAATTAGGTATCAAAAACTTGCTAACTGCTTGAATTTAAGTGGTTGAAAAAACAATCTGAAATTTCAGAAAAGAAATGTAAAATTTTGCATTTTTCTCCCAGAATGTCAAGTACAGTAGTGAAGACTGTAGGAAATACGGCTGGAAAGAGACTTTAGAGAAATTATGGAAAAAATAGAAGAAAGAAGCAAATATAGAGGCTAAAAAAGTTAATACCATCTTACACTATCCAAATCTATAGCCTTAGAATAGTTAGCTAAACCTGTGGCATTTCACCCAATCTGGAATAAGCAAATTTTGAAAGATAAGATGACCAGGACAAGGATAGCTCTGAAAACCACCCAAAAAGATTGGTTTATGTGAGTTTTCCTTCTAAAAAAGACTTGGCTAGGAATAAGATAACTATTCTCAAATATTTAAAGTAGCATAGGCTTGTTCTGCTCTTTTGGGAGGCAGGATATAGCAAACGAGTCTGAGTTAGAGAAAAGCAGATTGCCAAGTCAATAAAATAAAGAACATTAAAACAGCTCAAGCTGACTGACCACAGGAAAAATGGTATCAATGCAAAGTAGTGAGCTTTCCATCTCCATCTGTACTTACATGTACTCCAAATAAGCACACAGCAAGGATCTCACAGAAGGATTTTAAGGGGAGATTAAATGATCTCAGCTGTCAAATCTAACCCTAAGAGTCTACGATTCAGTAAACTTCACCAGCAAGATTCTAGTCATATCTAGGACCAGGTGAATTTACTCATGTCACCTTTATTTGGCAGCTGTATTCTTAAATCTGCCATAAACAAGTAATTTTCAAGGTAAAAGGTAACTAACATCGCCTTTTACATTATCCTAGTTTCAATTTTTTTTTCTCCTCTTCTTTCCATGCATTATTTCCCATAAATACATATGCCCCCCCCCAAAAAAAAAGTTTCATTTATTTAGTTATTACCATCAGGCTCTTTGACGACAACCACCTCTTGATCTTCTTGTCTATTCTCACTAGATTTCTTGATATTTTCTAGTTCTGTCCAATAGTCTTCCATAGATAATTCATCCAAAGAATACTGGGAATTTGATCGATCAAATGGTGGCTTCTCTGTAACTTTGGTTGTGTTTTCCTCGTTCATCGTGTACTGGCCGTATCTACGACTATAAATTCAAAAGAAAACATTGTTCATTTTAGTAAATAAGGAAGTAGGACAATTTCTAAAACATCACAGCATCGAGTTAGAGAATTTGGAAACTCCTTAAGTTCTCCTTATGTTAAAACCAAACTAAGTATTTTGAGACTGTTTACACTGAGGTGCTGCTGATTGTAACATGCTTTAGAAGGAGCTAAGAGTTTCATTCTCTACAGAGAAGTATGGTAAACAACAATTAGTAATATGGTAAATTACTTTTCAATTTATATTTTAGTAAAATTGTTTTAAGACTTTTAAATCTGAAACTTTGTTCTTAGGAAGCAACAGGATGGAACTTGATTACAGGCTATTAATTAAATTGTGGTTGCATTTCATACAACATTCAATATTTATCAATTATATTTGTAAAACAAACTCAGTCAACCCTTACACAGCAAGTATCTGTAACAAATGAAAGAAGCATGATTTAAGTTTCCATTTTATTTTTGGAGCTGAATTATAAAGGGAAAGATAATTTATAAAGTTTGTTGTTACACTATTATAGAGAGCAACTTTTAATCTCTACTTATAAATGTATCTAATATTTAAATGTATCAATTTTTAAATATGGTAAAATCTCGTGTATCTGGCAATTCTGAAAAGTTAAGAACTACCTCTTAAGCATTTACATTTTACATATTATCAATGAAGGAAAAAATTGAATAAAAATATTTTTATGATTTCAAATAAAACATTTTCTTTATAATTCACATCCCACTCACTTCTAAAATGGAATTAAAGGAGCTTAAAATAAAAACCCATATACAATAGAAATATTAAATTTATTTATTTTTATTGAGATAGAAGAAAAGGATAATTACTTAAAGAGGAAAATTTTCAGCTATGGTGCCCTTCTTCTATATTCAATAATTTTAAAAATATAATTTAAATGGTACAATAATTGGTAATCTAGCATTTTGATATTATAATTCCAAATTGGTCTTTTATCTCCCAAGAACTCCTAGGAAGTAATATTTTGCTAAGTTGGTTTTACTGACTGCACATATTTAAAATAAAATAAAATGCAACAAACAAAAAAAGTTTTAATAGTGAGTGAATATTTTCACATTTAAACTGGTCTTTCCCATAATTAGTTTAAAACAGTAGAATTGGCTTTTAATTGCAACTGGTTTGTTAGAAAAAGTCAAGAATTAATTGGCTTTTGCAACAAATAAATGCAATATAACTGAGTATTTAGCTGTTAATATACTAATAAGGCAGTTTTGTTCCATTAAAAATGATTCTCTCTCTGCCTTGACTCCCCACATTATTAATTCCGGTTGCATGAGTGAATGAACAATTGCTAAAATTTCTCCCCAGTAGCAACCCTAGGATGATGATGGGTGCGTGTTGGGACTAGGGCCAACAGCAGAAAGTTTAGATATGTTTGTGTGAATCTCTTTCCTCAGGTCTCCATTGTCCATTGTTTGCCTCCTCCATCCCTTAATTCAAGGGTTTCTTCCTGGCCATAGTCCTCTTGTTTATGTCTACACCTTACCCTCCTTTCTTTCTCTCTCCTTAGTGGTCATTATTACAGCCAATGTTTTCATTTTAGAGTTCACACTCCTGAATCTTAAATTAAAATGTGAATGAGAAAATTATTTCTCTCTCTCTCAAAAAAAAAAGCAAATTTTATACATACATACACATATTTGTGTGTGTGTGTGTATACACACATATACATATTTTTTTCTGTGATTAGCAGATCAACAGAACAGCTAAAGCTAATTTACAGAATGTCTGCCAGATTCATTTTGTTTTCTTCATGTCAAATACATAGATGCTTAATTCTTGTTTTTGTTTTAACTCGCATTATACTTCAAGATTATCTACCTTATTTGTGTCCCCCACAACTCCTAGCCCATGGGAGACTGCAATAAGTACTGTGGACTGAGTGAAGTATAATGACTAATGCCAAATAATTGGATTTATCTGCTTACAGGAAAAGAGGTGCAGTTGAACTAGAAGTACAGTCAACCTTTCACTCTTGAAGGAATGTGTTTATTCTGGTTAAGAATTTTCCAGTAAATTTCCATTAAGACAGCATGTGTGAAAAAATGCAAGGGCATAGAGTAAGAGCACTGTTATGTAAATATACCTTCTATATCAAGCCTGGCTTTCAAAACATGCATAAAGCAAAAATCTAATACCTTAGTGCTGATGAATCAACTCAATATTTTAACCTTAATAAGATTCAGAAGCTGAACAGGCTTGTGATAACCTGAAGATACTAAGTCATGGAAAGCAGGGTTTTTGGGGGTTTTGTTTTGCTTTTTTTTTTGATCACAGGTAAGTGTTGCAAGAATACATTTTCTTTTTGAAATATTAGGGAGTGGAGAGTGGGGAGGAGGCAGCCATCCAGTAATAAACTACCCTCCTTAGCCAGCCTGCCATGTAGTTTAATCTCCTGCAAAAATCCAACTGAAACAACTGAACACCCTTTAATTACAGTTTACATCAACAAACATGCATGTCACGTCTTTTCTTCTTAGAATATACTCTCCTTTTGAATTTCCTGATTTTAAACCATGCAATATCCTCTTCTGTTCGAACAACTGCCTCTTGGTCTATATTCAGGTTTCACATGGGCACAATTAAGTGTTCTGGAATTCCCATTCTTTGCGATGTTATCCATAATTTGTTATGATTCACACAGTACGATGCCTTTGCATAGTCAATAAAACACAGGTAAACATCCTTCTGGTATTCTCTGCTTTCAGCCAGAATCCATCTGACATCAGCAATAATCTCTCTCCTTCTACGTTTTCTGCTGAATCCAGCTTGAATTTCTCGCAATTCCCTGTCTATGTACTGCCGCAACCACTTTTGAATGATCTTCAGCAAAATTTTACTTGTGGTGTTAATGATATTGTTTGATAATTTCCGCATTCTGTTGGGTCACCTTTCTTTGGGATAGGCATAAATATGGATCTCTTCTAGCTGGTTGGCTAGGTAGCTGTCTTCCAAATTTATTGGCAGAGATGAGTGAGCACCTCCACTGCTGCATTCATTTGTTGAAACATCTCAATTGGTTTTCCATCAATTCCTGGAGGCTGTTTTTTGCCAACGCCTTCAGTACAGCTTGGGCTTCTTCCTTCAATACCATTGGTTCTTGATCATATGCTACCTCCTGAGTTCAGGATATTAAGTTATTTATTTTGTCATTTTTTACCAGTTGGCTTTGAATCAGCCCTGAATCATGGTGACCCCATGTGTGTCAGAGTAGAACTGTACTCCATAGGGTTTTCAACGGCTGATTTTTTTTGGAAGTACTATATTTTTATGCGAAAAACACATGCCTGCTATGTTTGTGTGCCAACTGTGCCCTCCCCTTGCAAGGTATTTTCATAAGTGCTCTATGCCAATTTTTTTTTTACATATTGCTGTAAAAAAAAAAAAAAAAGCATAGCATACTTACGAAAATACCTGGTGGGGGGAGGGCACAGTTTGCAAACAAAAGTAGAAGGAGCACATTATTTGCGTAAAAACATGGTCAGTAGCCAGGCCTTTCTTTCGAGGCACCTCTGAGTACTTGACATTTCAATCTTTCAATTAGCAACCAAGCATGTTAAAAGTTTGCACCACCCAGGAACTCCTATTTTGTCATAGAGGATATTAAAATAGTCAAACAGTTCATTCTTCACAAAAAGGTAGTGACTGCCATGTACTATGCTGTGGTCTACTAGATGGATTCAAATTGATTGTTTGATGATTCTTCCTAGTATCAATGCAATCATTTTTGGAGTTAGCAAAATGAAATGGAAACATATGGGACTGGGAGTCATAATTACCAAATTATAATTTCAGCTCTACTATCTCTATAATCTTTGGAAATCCACTTAACTTTTTTAAGTCTCACTATTCCTGTCTGCTCTCACAGGTTTGTTGTGAGTTATTGTCTTAGTCATCTAGTGCTGCTATAACAGAAGTACCACAAGTGGATAGCTTTAACAAAGAGAAATTTATTTTCTCACAGTCTAGTAGGCTAGAAGTCCAAATTCAGGGCGTCAGCTCCAGGGGAAGGCTTTCTTTCTCTGTCAACTCTGGAGGGAGGTCCTTGTCATCAATCTTCCCCTGGTCGAGGAGCTTCTCGGGTGCAGGGACCCTGGGTCCGAAGGATGCGCTCTGCTCCCGGTGCTGCTTTCTTGGTGGTATTAGGTCCCCCACACTCTACTCATTTCTCTTTCCTTTTATCTTTTATAAGATAAAAGGTGGTACAGGCCACACCCGAGGGAAACTTCCTTTACATTGGATCAGGGATATGACCTTAGTAAGGATGTTACAATCCTACCCTAATCCTCTTTAACATAATCTCACTTTGCCTCATTAACCACAGGCAGAGAATAGGATTTACAACACATAGGAAAAGTACAATCACAAAATGGAGGACAACCACACAATACTGGGAATCATGGCCTAACCAAGTTGACACATATTTTTGGGAAACACAATTCAATCCATGACAGTTATCAACCTACAATTTCTACTGAAATGTCTTATACGCCAACCATTAAGAGGGCACTCAAGCTAGTATCTTTATTAACACTCAAACTGCTGACTATATATAACTATCTCTCCCAGAACTGAATAAGATCATCCTTGCCTCCTTCGAAGGTTCAGAGGAAATTACCCTTTAGAAAGGGTCTCAGGACACTTTTATACTCTTAAAAATTTTCAAAAACCCCAAACAGTTTATGCTTATGTTGGTTATATCTATTGATATTTATATTATTAGCAATTAAAACTGAAAAAAATTTAAATATTAATTCTTTTAAAAACAGTAATAAACATACTAACGTAAATAACATATTTTTAAGAAAAAAAATAACTGTTTTCCAACCCTCCTCCAAAAAAATAGTGCAGTGAATGGCATTGTTTTACATTTTTTTAAATATCTTTAATGTTTGGGTTTGTAGAAGACAGCTGGATTCTTACATCTGCTTCTTCATTGAATCTTTTGCAATATCA